GTTTTAATCTACAAAGCCCTAAATGACTTGGGTCCAAGCTATCTTAAAGACCAGCTCTCTGTCCATGAGCCTGCCCAGGCATTAAGATCATGGGGGGGGGAGCTTTCTCTCACACTCACCACCCTCACAGGTGCACTTGGTGGGGACACAGAACAAGACCTTCTCTGTTGCTGCTCCCAGACTCTGGAACTCCCTCCCACAGGAAGCTAGGCTGGCCCCATCTTTACTGTCCTTCCACGGGCAGGCAAAGACCTTTCTCTTTAGTCAGGCTTTTCCTTAATAACTAGTGGCCTGAGAAGGGTTTTACATGGACTGTTGTGCTCTGTTGTTTTAAACGTATTTTAATTAATATTTGTATACTTACAGTGGGGTCTCTACTTAAGAACGTCCCTACTTAAGAACAATCCAACTTAAGAACAGCTCCATTTGCTAAATTTTGCTTCTACTTGAGAACAGAAATCCAAGATAAGAACAGGAAAAAAACCTTTCCTGCTCTTTTTTTAACCTTAGGTCATCTTAGGTTAAAAAAAAATTCTCCCCCTAGTGGTAGAGTACGTATTAACCAGCTTTGCATTAGTTCCTATGGGAACTAATGCTTCAATGTACGAACGCACCTCTACATAACAAAAAAAAGCCAGAACAGATTAATTGGTTTTCAGTCCATTCCTATGGGAAATTTTGCTTCAACTTAAGAACGTTTCAACTTAAGAACACCATTCCAAAACGGATTAAGTTCTTAAGTAGAGGTTCCACTGTAGTTTCTATGGACGGAAAAGAGCAGATACGGATTAAATGGTTTTCAATGTATTCCTATGGGAAATGCAGATTCAACATAAGAACTTTTCAACTTGAGAACCACCTTCCAATACGGATTAAGTTCTTAAGTCGAGACCCCACTGTACTGTTTTAGCTTTTAAACAATGTTTTAGTGATGTAAGCAGCCTTGGGTCCTTTTGGTGAGAAATACGGCATAGAAATATTTTAAATAAATAAATAATAAATAAAGGAGTGGGACAGTCCCTTTAACCTCAGACATTTATATACTATAATGTGTACCTCTGCCCTAAATTGCTTTCCTATTAAATGTTGGAATATTTCAAAGATGATAGTTTAACATTCATGGCTGAAGCTTCATTTACTACCAACTAATGTCTTTTTTGGGCATGTATTTGTAAAACATTTGTTGTTGTTTAGTCATGTCCAACTCTTCGTGACCCCATGGACCAGAGCACACCAGACCCTCCTATCTTCCACTGCCTCCCGGAGTTGGGTCAAATTCATGTTGGTAGCTTCGATGACACTGTCCAACCACCTCATCCTCTCTCGTCCCCTTCTCCTCTTGCCTTCTCACTTTCCCAACATCAGTGTCTTTTCCAGGGAGTCTTCTCTTCTCATGAGATGGCCAAAGTACTGGAGCCTCAGCTTCAGGATTTGTCCTTCTAGTGAGCACTCAGGGTATTTGTAAAACATAGGTTGGAAAATATCATTAAGAACACCCTAGGATAAGGTGTGCAAAGTTGAGACTTGCTTAGTGAAGTAAATGGTTGAAATTCCAATCAATAACGTTTGGTTGAAGGATAATGACATCATTGGCAGGGTGTAAAGTAATAACCTTCCTACATCTGTCCCATGGCTTTCCCAACTGTCATGTAATCCCTCTCATTGCATGGAAGCTGTGGGAGCCAGAGAACAAAAGAAGGAAGTCTTTAATTACTAAAAAGCACCATCACTGGATGACATTACTGGTAGGGAGAGATTTTCAGTCATTCAAAATTTCTTCTTTTCTACTATGAATTCCATAGCTTCCATATAATGATGGATTACACAGGAGTCAGAAAGGCAGAGAGACAGAAGTAGGCTTTTTTTAAATTGCCCAAAATTGTCCCCTGCTGGGGATATTACCACCCTTCCGCAAGCTTAAGTTATGCAACAGGATTTCAACCAACTGTAATTCAGCCACACTGGCTTGGAATTCTAGGAACTACAGTTCAAAAGAGCAACTTTCCCAAGCTCCTGTCATGGGCATGACTCTCCTCAAACACATTTTTGCAGCCTCATGCAATATACTGAATTCCAAATGGGCTGTTCCCACACATTTTGTCCTATTCAGACTATAGTGTCACTCTTTTTACAGCATCTGTACCGTTTCTCTGATGCTGGAAAACAGTTATGAACAGAAAGTATTTCTGTGACCTCCTGCTAAGTAACGGAGTGCAGTTTTCACAAAACTTTGCTCTTTGAAAAAACAAAGCAGAAACAAAACAGAGATGACAACTGTAAGGATTTAAACATCCAGTTAAAAGCTTGAAGGAATCCTCCAAGAACAGACAAAAGTATCTTCTCACCTTGCGTGTTAATCTTCGCTTTATTTCCCGTTTTTCTTCCTGCTCTTCTTGCTCATTCCGTGCTAGAAAAAAAATTGACAACATTCTAGATTGGTTGGTTATATGGAATACACAAATGCTGGCAAGAATTTGAATAGGGTTATTAATGTTTCGGCCCTCCCCTCTAAAGGACCCCTGGGAACAGTGAATGCTTTCTATCCGTTTGCCAACACATTTCTTTGTACACCTTACAAAATGTCCAAATCTTGTTCACTTTGGCTCAATGACAGTCTGAATTTTCTCCCTTAGCTTGATGTGGTTTATAGCAGCCATTCGGCAAGGAGTCAGGCCTGCTGCAACCATTACCTCTGTGCCTTGGGGCCTATGAGCTGCAGGGAAATGAAGAAATGACACTTCTGCTAACCTCAGTTAGAAGCATGATGTCTGGGCAAGCAGTTCGGGGCTCAGTCTGATGCAAAATGTGCTTTTCTGGAAAAGACTCTGTAATGAGTTCTGGAGACAGTGGCCGAAATCCAGCAGCATTATTTACACTGTGTAAGGATGATGATGTAATCAGCTATCATGGCCTTTTTGGAAATTAGAGGCTCCCCTTTCCCATCTTGAATCCCCCCCCCCATGATGAAAGGAATCCCAAGGGAGCTTTGGGATTTTCCATGAAAGGGTGAAATTGCTCTCTGAAAAACCACCAAGGCTGAAGATATATCATCAGCTTTATGCAGCATATGTTATGCTGCTGGATTTCAGCCACTGTACCCAGAAGAAAACATTTTGTGCCAAAGGTTCAAGCCATGCAACTTGATTTCATTTGATCCCATGAAATACACCTTCCCAGAAAACAAGTCTCAGTTTACAGCATCTGCAACATCTACCAGAGCGGTCATGGAATTGTTCAAAGGGTGTCAGTCTATTTGCCTTGTGCAGAATTCTTTCAGCAGCAAACAGCAAGAAGAATTAGCTTCAGCTGAGAATATTCAAAGCCATGCAGTTTTGATTTCTCTCATCCTCTTGTCAGGTTTAGGTGTAGCGCATCCCAAATGCTCAGAATTAAAAAAAAAATAGTTGCATATACTTTTAAATGCATATTTCTGCTAACACATGCATTTTATACACATTTTTGCCTAACGTACATATTTTAAAAGCAATATTCCTAATATAATGCATATTAATGTTATTTTTACATTTTTTTAGTTCCTCCATTAATGCATACTTTAAAAAAAAAAAACTCAAGAACTCTCATTACAAAATCTGGACAAGTTCAAAACTTGAAGGATAATTAAATTTTAGTTTGAATATTGGCTCAAAAAGCCAGACTCACTGAATAGCAAACGTGGTTGATTTCTCCCTATCTTTGATTTCTGATGCATAAATGTAGTTATATAAATGAGGAAACAGGTGAGGGAGTGCAGCTTCACAGAAGACTTATCACTCAAATCATGTATGCTTGGATACACCTCTGCTTTATAAATGGACAGCTTTTTATAACTCTGGTATTAAATGTTTAGGGTGCAAGACCTACTTATTTCAGTGGAATTTATTTTCAACTGCATGTGTGTATGAACAATATCCTATAGTAGCAGGATTTTAGTGAGGCGTCATGCCCCCAGTTAATTTTTTAATGGCTATTTTAGCTGTTTTAAAGTCAAATACTTAGTATTTGATTTAGTGTGTTGTTCTCTGATTGATTTAATTCATTCATTAAGGTTGCACAGTAAATTGCTTCTGAGTGGACACGCATATGGCTGAGCTATGCAAAACTCTCCTGTGTGCACATTTCTGGAACCAAACTCAACTTGTAAGTGAACTTTCTAGGTAAACATGGATGGTATTGGGCAGCAAACTAAAACAAGGCTGGGTTAGAGACTTTAGTGTGTTTCATTGGCTGACTTGTTATAACCCAAATATAATGTCAGTCAAATCTCAGAGAAGGTACTTTTGTAGTCTAAAAAACAAATTTTCAAAGCTCTGTTGACATGTAAGCATCAAGCTAAAAATGTTGCTACTTATTAGATACATACAGTATAAATATGGCTCTACAAAAAATATCTCTTTTTTGGATAATAATTGCTTTAAATGGGCATCAAATACACCTGATTCAGGATTAAAAGAAGTGGTAGTGAATGGGAGTTCCTAGCCTCAACAAATCACCCTAAGCATCTGCATTGTAAAACTTTCTCCCCTCCCTTTTGGCCTCTCACCATCTTTGAAAATAAGATTGTGGCTACTCACGTTTAAGAATATTTCTCTGCTCCAATTCTTCAGCGGTTGGCCTCTGGCTCAGTCGTCTGCGGAAAAAGCCCTGGATCAATTTTTGGACCATATGATATCCACCAACATTCAGTGTGTACAACAGTCACACTGCTTCATAATGCTAAAACTGAAGAGGTGACATTGTTCCCATGTATCTGGTTGTACGTATTGCTATTACTGAGCTTTACATACACTGGGAGTTTCTTCCGTTGCTAGTGAAGGGAAAACCAAACATGTAGTGTCATATTAAACATGTCTCTTCTGTCTCTACCTCAAGCTAATCAATGAAGAGTTCAATGTTACAGATCCCTTTACTTCATTATCTTTCTTCCACGCTAGCTTTAACTCTCACCAAGTATGATGAGTTTCGCTCAGTGTCCCTTCTTAACTATGCTTGCGAGATTTTCCAAACTGTACCCAACTTGTCCCAAGAGTCAGTGAAAACAAAGGCAGCTAACAGTCCAGAAAAAAACAACCAGGCAATGGTTAGGCTGCTCAGAACAACAGTGCTCCTTCTGTCCCTCCTCAGTCCTCTTTCTCCATGACAACATTTGTTCAGCTTCATAATAATAATAATATTACACAAACACTGAACTCAGTCTCCTCCCACTGTATCTTTTAGAAGCAGCAAATATTGTTTGGGGTGTAAGGGATAAAATTGGAGTGGACAGTAAGCCAATTCTAGAACTTAAAAGCCCTGAAAGAGCAGGAAAAAATGGGGTGAGAAAAACAAAGAATGTTGGTCCCAACGTGCTCCTGCTATGTTCAATGGGAGATTCATCTCTGATTTCAATGGGAGCAGTGGTTCATTCTCCACCAGCCCATGTATAATTGTGCAGAGATGTCCAGAACGCAGCTGCAAAGTTTACTCTCCTAGGACTCAAATCTCTTACTCATTCTTTCATCTGTTAACAGAAATGAAAACAATATGGAAGAACTCACACCCTTGCCCTCATGGATCTAAATTATAGTCTATGCAGCAGCACATCCTCACAAACCGTGGCTGACATCTTGTTGAATAGTTTCCACCTGCATAACAGGAGTGACATCATTATCAGCAAGAGAGTGCTGCTGTTTAAAGACTTCCATTTTTAATTCTGGTGTGTGTGTGACTTCATGTCATTTCAGGTATGCAACCTGAAACTGAAAAGGAAGCCTTTAATTATCAGCAATTTGTTGATGATGATGTGATTCCCAGTATGTAGGCAAGGCTGTGCAACAGGATTTGGGCCTACGTTTGTTGTTCTTCGGGCCATATTACTTTTGCATATGCTGACAACAAGGCTTTCTTCTGTATCTTCTGGGTAGCAATGATCACAACACTACAGGAGCAAACAAAGTAGATTCTCAATGTGTAGCATGAACTGGGGATGACTTGAACATTTGAGCACAGTCGTTCAGGAATGGAAATGCCCCTGACTGAATATCTGAGAGCCAGATCAAGACACACACAGTTACCTATCCCTTCCACTACACCAAACATGAAGAAACATGCTTTCAGATTGGCAGAGGAAAAGGTATATGTCAAAGTCTTAACATCCCTGGAGGAACAGTGATTGTGCATGCACCATGTTCATTTCCCCCCAGAACTGTGATGCTGTGTGTCCTATTGCCACCGAGATTGTCCCTAGGAGGTATCCTTTGGCAGGAGAGGTATTTGCAACATTTGCACCTTCACACTGGGAAAGCTGGAGCCAGTTGCATCCCGAGTAGTAAGAGATATGCTCTGCTGGGTCCCTGAAGTGACAGTAACTATGGCAATCACTGACTTGCTACCTGCATCATATAGCTAAACTGAGGGAGGTTATTCATCAGAAACATGGCATGAATTAAAGCACTGCATACTTATGGTGCTCATCAGAAAACCTCTGCTACAAAACAGTAAAAAAACCAGCTAAGTGAAATGCAACTGTGTTACATGGTCTGGTCCTAAATTCAGCATAAAACAGAATTTAAACAATTGGTGTTACATGCCATCAAGTCATCTCCAACTTATGGTGATCTTATGAATAAGTGATTTCCAAAATATCCTGTCCTCAAGAGCCCTGCTCTGCTCTTGTAAATCCAAGCCTGTAGTTTCCTTTAGCAAGTAAATCCATCTCATTTTTGGTATTCCTCTTTTTCTTCTGCCTTCAACTTTTTCTAGCATTATAGTCTTTTCAAGACAGTTTTGCCTTCACATATGCCCAAAGTATGACAGCCTCAGTTTCATCACTTTTGCATCCAGAGACAGTTCAGGCTAGATTTGCTCTAGCACCCACCTGTTCCATCTTTCTGGAAGTCCAGGGTATCTACAAAGCTCTCCTCCAGCACTATGTTTGAAGTGAATCAATTTTACCCTGTCAATTTTCTTTACTGTCCAGTTATCACACCTGTACATACTGACTGGTAATGCAATATCTTGGCCTTTGTCTCCATTGACACATTCTGACACGTTATGATATTTTCTAATTCCTTCTTTGCTGCCCTTCCGAATCTAGTCTTCATCTGATTTCTTGGCTGCAGTCTCCTTTAGGATCGATGATTGAGCCAAAGTATGCAAAGTCTAAAATAATTTCACTTTCTTCATTGTCAGCATTACAGTTGCGTAGTTCTCCCACAGTCATGATTTTGGTGTTCTTAGTGTTCAACTGAAATCTTGCCTTGGCATTTTCTTCTTTTACGTTCACTAAAAGTCACTTTAAATCATTGCTGCTTTCTGCCAGTAAGATGGTGTTATCTGCATATCTTAATTAATTGATGTTTCTTCCACCAATTTTCATTTCTCCTTTATTTGGATCTAGTTTAGCTTTCCATATTATATGTTCTGCATGTAGATGGAAGATAAAATGCACCCTTGTCTGACACCTTTGCCTATAGGAAACCATTCTATCTCCCCATATTTTGTCCTAATGGTACCTTCTGGGCCACAATAGAATAATTGTGCCCAGAACAATAATCTTGTTCTGGGCACAAGGTTATGCATCAGGACAGTCAGGTGCTGAGGCATACCCATTTCTTTCAAAACAAGCCATAATTTCTCATTATCTACACATTCAAAGACTTTGCTGTAGTCTATAAAGCACAGACAGATCTTCTTCTGAAATGCTTCTGTGAACTCCAGTAGCCAGTGGATATTTGCGATATGATCTTGAGTGCCTCTTCCTTTTCAGAATCCAGCTTTGACATCATGCCTTTCTTCATATAGTGTAAAAATCCTTTGTTGTAACACACTGAGCATCACTTTATTTGCATGGGAAATTAAGAGAAATGGTCCTATAGTTACTGCACTCCTTGGCATCTCTTTTCTTGGGTAATGGAATGTACTGTATATGCATAAAGTTTCCCATCTGTGGGCCATTGTTTTGTTTTCCATATTTGTTGGCTTATGCTTGTTAAGATTTTGACAGATTCAGTTTCTGTGGTTTGAAACAGTTCAATCGATATCCCATCTACTCCTAGTGATTTTTCTTCCTAGTGCTTCAGAGAAGGTTTCACTTCACTTTCTAGAACTGCAGGTTCTTCATTACTGGAGTCTTCAAAAGAATTTGTCATGCTCTTATCTCTTCTGTACAGGTCTTCGGTATGCTCTTTCCACCATGTTTCTCAGATAATGTGCTTCCTTGTTAAGTCTTTCAGCATTCCTAATCTAGGCTTATATTTCCCTTTAATTTCTTCTGATCGGCTTTCCCAGGAGTCCGATGGATATTATTTGGTCAAACTAATACCTCAACTAATTTTGAAAGTACATCTCTGAAGACATGATCTATTGGAAAGTGCTACGAAGGTCAGGAATATGCTGTACACATTCCTAATGAACTGGTACTCAGTGTACAGTCTAAAGCATAAGTACTGCTAATTAGGTTTATTATCCTTACAGTAGAGCCAGTGTTAGAAAGAGGATGTTCAGAGTGAGTTCACCTTAGGACTGTCCAGCAATTAGACGTGAGGCTTTATCTGGCAGTGCCTGTGAATGAAGAATAAAGCTGCACAGTTTAGCATTGTAATGTGTCGCCCTATTGTAGCTTTGCAACGGGCAGCAATGTTTTATGTAATGGCTTTTCAGGAGCCTCATTAGAATGGCTTGTAAAAAGGAGGAATGTCGATTTGCCCTGGTTAGGGAGGGACCACTTTCACAGCAAGGCGAAAGGTTTTCTCAACCATGCCTGGAAAACAGAATAAATCGAATATTGCATGCTTCAGCTGCAAAAGGAATTTAACACTGTCCACTTTGACTCAGGAGGGAAGACATCTCCACATTTCTCACACTTCAACTTTTAGCATGGCCATACTTTGACAGATCTTTCCAAAAGTCAAGGGCTGAAATAAAGATGAAAAACACTTATGTTATTTGAGACTTTGGTAGGTTATTAAAGAATGGAATCATTTCATAAGTGTAACAGCCAGCACTCTGGTCACCTGGTCGGGCCAAGAGGTTATGCATGATCTATCACCCCCTCACATATAAACCCCTTTTCTTTGTGTTGTGGGTCTCTCTCTCTCTCTACCTACATTCATACCTTCAGTAGTTGGAGTGATTCTCAAGGGGGACGCATAACAGAGTTTCAGGGAACTTTACAGATTTTGTAAAAAAAAGTATTCATCATATAATTACTGTGAAAACACAGTTAAAACAGATCTATCTGCTACTTCTTACTTTTTTTAGTATGCTCTTTATTGTATCATCCTATGACACAGTAATGTGCCTATTTTTACTTTTTTAATGATTTGATCTGCACTTTTTCATGATATTTCAAATGAAATTATTGGGGAAGGCATGTTTGAAGTGTTGTGTGAGAGTTTTACGTTAAGCAAAGGAGGCAAAGGTAAAATAATATTGAGAAAGGGTGCTTTTGAATGGTGCTCTACTGGTGGTGTATAGCACTCACTGGAATGCTACTTCCTGTTAGCCCCAAAACAACACAGAAAAAGACCACCAGAAGATGCTTTACTCTGGGCCCCTTCCACCCTGAAGCCTGACAACACGTGACACAATAGATCAACCCTTTTCCATGCTGTTTTAATGGCACTCTCCCTTCTGTGCACCCTGTCATAA